AAACAAGAGGAAAATATAAGAGGAAAAGAGAGATTACAGTAGACTAGAGTTCACTATAGGCAATCTCTAAGCTCAAGGGCTGCGATTTCTTTGACGACCTGAGCCTTATCAGCCTCAAACCGTTCATCCTCTGCATGACATCAAACAGGGAACTATGAATGAAGTGCTAAACCACACATTTCAAGGAAAAATAATGTTACCATGTGTGTTTTTTTTCTTTTCTCTTGTTGCACCTTTATTAGTCTTCAAATCCGCAAACAATCGTAGAAGCTTGCTTTTATTAGCAACAAGTATGCTAACGATGTCTGGAGGCTTATTCTGTTTTGCGGCAAACAACTGTAGAAACATAGATCAAAAGATGCAAGTAAGAAGAGGACATTGTGTGCAATTTAACGTATCAAATTATCGAGTTTGAACATCAGAGGAGAAGAAATTTAACATGGCACCTTGAAAACATGAAAAGCTTCTATTTGAATGCTCTTGCTTGATTCCTGCAATTAAGGGATCTATAGTTGGTGCTTCAAGTTTACTCCATATGATAACACCAAATTTAAAAACGTCATCGTTGGTCATTAACGTTTGAGTATTGAAAATCTCAAGTAATTGCATCTACCGAGATGATCATATTCATAGCTACATTTAAGATGGAGTTTATTACCAGCAAAAAAATAACATTAAACCATGATAAACGATGTCGGATAGACAAAACATGAAAGCAAGAAATTGGCAGAAGCGAAGTACCCTTAGAAGATTCATAAGAATCCTTAAGTTATCCCTTGAGCTCACAAATTTCGTCATGACGGCTGAATTTGAGCGGTCCAACAGAATATCTCCCAGCAACTATAACATAAAGAAAAAAAATGAAAAATAATAGAAAAGGTCTCCCTAGCAACTTAAAGTGGACCTGCAATTGCGACCGCACAAAAAAATAACATGATCTTCATACTACTAAGATTCTGACAGTTTAAAAGCAGAAATTCACTTGCATTGAGTTGCCAAAAAGTAAGCAACAGATTTTGACACCCATCAATTGACTAACTATAGATGTTTCAGACCCCAGGCAGGTAAGAGAATCTTTCCACTCCTCAAACATCCCATTTTCAGTTTTAAATTAGAAAATGAACCCATAACAAATACTGATGTGAATTCAAGCAAGCTTTTGTTTTGATTGAAAAAGAAATGCTAAAATAGTTGCCTTTTTTTGTAAGGGTCGAACCTTGATAGCTTGTCGTCTCGTAATGTAGTTGCTAGATTCCAGCAACTTTGAGTTATATTCTGCAAAAAACTGAAATAACAACGCACTTAATTTCATTGAGCTCTATGTATCTAACAAAAAACTGAAATAACAAACGCACTTAATTTCATTGAGCTCTAAGTATCTAACTGGTAAAAAATTTCAACACCACCATCACCAGCAAGGAGAAAAAAAAAGCACTATGAAGAACTCAACAGAATCTTAATGTAGTTGATCCTAGCATCATTGCAATGTATAACCATGTGAATAAAATATGTAGTCAAATATGAAAGAGCAAATAAAGTGATTCTAATGGAAGCACTTTTCAAGCTGACAATAATGGAGAGCGAAAATGTATTATGAACAGATGAGATTTTCTAAGTACCCTGCTCATATGTTAACATCAAAAGACCACGTTTTAATAGATGAAAGTAATTGAGGAGCAATACTTACCCAATCATAGTTCTTGGAAAGAAATTCAGCTACAGTGGACTTATGCCTTGTCAAGAGCTCCTATAAGAAAACAAAATGTGACATGGCATCAAAAGTCAGATGCACAATACAAAACCCTTAAAGAAAGAAAGGAAGGAAGATGAGGAAATTCATAGAGGATTACTCAACATCAAACAAAAACCTTGATTGATGTATTGAAATCAGAAAACATCTTCGTTTCATCAAAATAAAATAGAAAGGCAAACAAGCCCTACTTAAAAAATTACAACAAACAAAACAACAGGTGTTTTCTTAAACTAGATTTCAATAACAAACACAGAGTCAAAAGTGCAGTAGTAAGAGGCAGGAAGAAAATGGGAGAAAAACAAAATCATTAGAGTAGCAATACATAACCTTAAAAGTTGCAGCAGCATCAGCAGCAATGTCAAAATTTGGAAGTTGTATATAGTCAAAAAACTTCTTCATGTGCTCCGACTCCAAAACATACCTGTACTTCAAACAGAACATGTCAAATAGAGCTAATAACATATCTGAAAATCTTCAATTAATTTGAAACTTTTTACTGCAAATTTTAGGAGATAAAGTTCTCTTTCAAATTTAAAAGATATATTATAAAAGAAAAATCTTAAGGTAAATATTGGATTGTCTCGAGTGCAACCATGATGGGAAAATAGCTTATTAGAAAGAAGAATTAGAAAAAAATCGGATATTCATTTATTCACTTAAAGGAAGAGAAACCAAGTTATAAAGGAATAAATTAACTAGGTAGAATACTCTCACCTTGCAACAATCTGATGCCTTATGCACTCTCTCAACATTGCACCATAATGTAAAGCCATGTCTGTGTTCTCATAACTGAATAAACAACATTTAAGAATCAGAACCTGGTGATTAAATTATGGACACGCCATAAACCTCAATTTGGCAATCTAACCAAAGAGTTGCATAAACCAGAAATCATCCATAAATTAGGATTATAGCTCCATTGTAAACAGGGCAAATGCTTAGCACACATGTGAGTCGATCAATAAGAAGAAACCAGTAACAGAAGTGCTTCCACAATCTCTTTTGCTTATTCAAAAGAATAAAACAAAAACTGAAAACTAACAGTAACTATCATCTTAGCTCTAGCATTAAGTCATCCAAACTCCAACTAGATAACACAGATACAAAGATCCAGAAACAAATAAATTCAAATTGAAGACCAACCTATTAATAAGAAAGTAATAAATCTTGTAAGATTACCACTTACCCTGCAAATAAAATATCCAAAAGATCTAAGTTCGCCTCCAAGTAATCAGAAGCAATCAACCGCGAATGCACTGTTGCCTTTGCAAATTGGCAACAACTTGAGTGGCATCTTTCCTCGCCTGCAAAAGAACCCACTTGTCAATTATCATACAAGCAACAACAGGATAAACTTATAGGGCCGCAACAACTACTACTCTTGCAAAGGAAAATTCCACATCTAAACATTGTCTAGTAAGTCAACCCATTTACCTCCAAGTTCAATTTAGGAAGACAAGTGATCAAGAGCCGCAGCGTGTTCTCCCTGAAGAACTCTTCAGTCAGTTGCGCACAAGCTTCAGAGACTGGCTCAGATTCACTATTTCCATAGAGAATGGATTTCAACTCCCTTAAATTTTTAAATAATTCTTCCATCTGTATCAAAAGAACTAAGATCAAAATACGCGACTTTCGTTTAAATCAAATAACTCCTCAGGCACAACAAAAATCATACATATTTAATTCCAATTGCAACTAATCACATGCCGACGAATCCAGATCAAAGGTATATTTCAGTGACGAACCTTCTCTTCCCGCTTGGAATCATTGCCATCGGTGGTGCGGGATGCGTAGCCGAGGAGACCACGCGTTTGCCGCACAATATCGGCTGGAGTTCGCGGCTTTGATTTGAAAAGCCCCTTCATCCTGATAGACGGTGAATTATCCAAGTGGTTCGATGTAGAAGTAGAAGTGGTACCACGATCACGTTGTGCTGCCGGTTGCCTGAGCCTCTGTGCGACGGAGGCACTGCTCGTCGCACCGCTCGGCTTACTCACACAAATTCCTATCGTTTCACACCCAACAAAAAAAATTCCACAAAATTTTCACTAACCTTTTTTCTCCAGTTGTTTTGGAATATGTTTTAAAAATTGGTGTGAGTTTAGGTCGATTTGGCTTATTTTCCGAATTTTCCTGCGGTTTGATTGTTTCAATTGCTTTCTATTTATACCAAATATTTAATTAATTCGGATTAAGTTCGAGTATATAATAAGTTAGATCCGATATTATATCATATTAATATCAGGTCGTATCAATTTTCAAATCATGTCAAATATTAAATCATTTATTTTCGAGTTAGATCAATATCATAACAGTCTATTGTTTTCAAAACAATCTATTTACTACCCATTTTTTAGTTTTTGATGTTTGTTCTATTGGTTTTTTTATTGTGTTTTTTTGTTTTGAATGGTTGATTCGTAATTTTCATCTAGAATTGTTTCGATATCGAGTCTAGATTATTTTTTATTAAGGTTAATTAGTTTTGATTTAAATTTAATTCGATCTATGATAAAATAAATTAGACATTATGTTAGGTTAATATTGGGTTGATTATTTACCCATTTTCTTGTTTTTTTTATGTTTGTTCTATTTTTTTTTGTATTGGTTTTTTTTAATAATTGATTTGCAATTCTCATCTAGAGTTGTGTCAAGGAATGGACGTCTCACTTGTTAGTAGGGATGAGCACTCAATCCGAATTCGACGAGTTCTGACTTGACCCGATCATATCGGATTTTTTTAAAAAAATACGAGTTTGAGTTGGATTTTTTTTAAATTTGATATTCGGATTGAGTTCGAGTTTAGGGTGAAAAATATCCGACCCAACCCAACCCAACCAAAATAAATATAATTTTACCTTATATATTTAGGAATATTTATAATAATATCCCTCTATATATAATTTTTTTCAATTAAATCACTATTTTTATTGAATAAAAATAATTTTTATTATTATTTCGAGTCAGCTCATATCGGGTTTCTAAGTCATATATTCGGGTCGGATGAAACCTTATTTTAGTCGGGTCAGGTCGGGTGAGACTCCCTTGTTCTCGAATTGGATCGGGTGGATCAAAAATCCGACCCAACACGACCCATGCCCATCCCAACTTGTTAGGGTTAAGAATTTATAAGGTATGGATATATTATGTATTATTATCTATTTATACTAAAAATTTTCGTGATATTTTAACCATTGATATCTAGTAATGCATATATATATATACAACGTAATAAGTCGGATTCAAGATCTCTAAAAAAAAAACAGCAGCTTTTTCTACTACGATCCCTCTAAAATTTTTAAATACAAATGAATTACATATACAACAAGATGAGAGGGCAAAGGGAATTATCCTCTCACACCTCTTGGCATAGCTAATGACTTTGTTGCAACATCATTCTCACGTTGATATACAGCTTGTGATGAACCTATATACATATCATGCTTTCCATTGCACCTATCGGACTCCTCGGTTTGTCCCAAAAACAAAAGCTCCTGCGATCACAAAAAATGGACTAATTAATAACACCCACCAAAATTTGTTGCTCAAATTCGTTACGGAGCTAACGTGACAGAAGAAAGAAGGACCAATTTACCGAGCGTAGGCATTAATATCGATAAAATTACAGTGCCGACAATCTTGAGTGGTATTCCCGTCTTGACCATATTTGGAATGTCTATATGCCCCGTGGTGAATCCGACGACGTTCGATGGAGTTGCAGTCGGAAGCATGAAAGCGAACTGTGACCCGACTGCGCCAGGAATCATAAGGAGCAACGGATGGACATGCATGGTTTTGGCCATTTGAATCAGGAGTGGAAGCACGAGGGTCGCGGTCGCATCGTTCGACGTTATGAACTCGGTGATTACGGCGCAGATCGCACACACTGCGGGGGCAATAGCTAAATACGGAACCGCTTCGAGGAAATCTAGAGTTCCCGATAAGACATCGGCAAGTCCACTGGACTGGACGCCATCGGCTATAGCGAAACCGGCTCCTAACAACAAAATAATGTTCCATGGTAGCTTCTTGCATTCGTTCCAGTCCATCAATGCCTCTCCCTTTTGCTTCTTGTTCGGGATTACGAACAAAAGTGTAGCCATGAGAACCTACATGGTTAAGATTTGTATGGACTAAATCTTGAATTTAAGAATAGTAGAGGGATTAAACCCAAAGTTTATATCACACTGACTGTTCCATCGCCTGCACGGCCAGAGAATAGAGCTCCCCATCCCGGAATGTCTTCTGTTATGCTTCTGGTCATCCACAAAGCTACCATCATCTGCATATTTGGTCATTTTACCTTGGTTCGAAAAATTATTTCATACACTCGATTCGAAAACAATATTCAAAATAATGACTTATAGTTTAAATACATTATTAATGTACTAACCCCAAATACAGCTAAAACCATCTTCTCAGCAAAAGCCATCGGACCTGTTTATATCAAATAAAGAAGTCGAATTATCGTAATTTACGTTCGAGATCATTAAATTTATAGAGGAAAAGTCGTAAAATGTACCTAATTGGTCGAGTTCTCTCTTGAGGTGGGCTCGGTCCAAGTATGGGGCGAGGGCCTGGCTAGAGCCCCTTCGTAGATACAGCAGACAGAGAATCGCCCACAAGGCTATGAAAATCAATACGGCCAATGGGAAACCGAAGAAGAACCACGTGTTGTAACCTATGGGATCGGCATCCGGATAGGACCCCTTGTACATGGCCACCAATATCAAGGTGACACCCGTTCCGGTGAGCGTGCTCATCCCGCCGATGGGGGCTGCGTACGTGACGCCGAGGATGACAGCCCGACAAAAGTTTTGGATATGGTTTGATCGAGTAGAACTAATCGGGAGCCGCTGTAAAATCCCGGTGGCCACCGGCATCATCATGACGGCGCATGCCACGTTGTGCATCCACATGCTGACGAAGAATGTGGTGGCGCAAATGCCGAGTAGGAGCAGAGGCGGATTAACCGGTTCCCCGCAGAATCGTGATGTGATCTGCGTGACCCACGCGCAACCATTATTTGATGAGCCATGTTATCCATTCGTACAATAATTCACCCAGACCCCGACAACAACATTATTGGCATCACTGATGTAATTCGAATAAAAAATAATTTAAATATCGAATCGGGGAAAAAAAACTTACATTTAAGGCCAATCTTCGATGAATATTGTAACGTTCAACGGCGAGAACAAGTATGAAGCTACCCAGAACCAGGGTAATCACATCGTCCATATAAGAATGTGCAACACCATCTGCAGACGATATTCCGAAGAGAGGGAACAAGAACAGAGGCGCCATCGAGGTGATCGGCATCGGCACGGCCTCGGTGAGCCACCACGAAAACACCCAGGCTAGAACCGCCAGCATGTTCCGGCTAGTAACCGGGCCATCGAACTTGACAAAAAGACAGACGATGGCACACAATATTGGTCCTAACAGGACATAGAATGCTTTAAGTGTGACCAAGGATTTGAGAGAAAAGGGTGAGCTCGATGACGGTTCGACCGGACCGTCAACATGCAGGAGTGGGGTTCTGGGATCATCGGAATTTCGATCGCCGGCGGACATTTCGCCGGCCATATGGATATGAATCTAACAGTGGTGGAAAATGGAGGCTTAGACAAGGCTTGCTTTTAGATCTGAAACTTGGGAAGAGGATAACTGTGAGCAAATTTGCGTTTTCCATTCGTTTTATGTCTGGCACATGTACCTATTAGATATTGAGTAATAAATATTTTATATATTTTAATAATAATACAAATAAAATTATTTTATATACACCAACAACAAGCAGCGGGTGGATATGACCAATAAATCAAGCAATAATCATCAACCAAGCCACGTGGATACTTATATTCCACAAGTTACCTTAGCTTGTGAGCATGACATGCATAGTAAAGGGATTAAGATCATAATTTGACGTATCGTGTAAATGAAAATTCCCCAAGTAATTGGGAACATGCTGTGAATTTTCAATTGGCATAAAAATGATAAAAAGTCGGCCAAACATTTAGTTGATTCAAGAAAACAAATTGCTCTTTGCTTTTAACTCCATTATCAAATGATATAATAATTATGTTTGTTGAAAAATCAAACTATTTAAAGATTACTGACAAATCATAAATCACACTCGAGAGATGTGAAAAGTTATTTACGAACGTAAATCAGGTATCCAAATCTAATTCTTGATGGCCATGGAGGAGAGAAATCCAAAGATCCTTAGTAATCTTGCAGTCCCTAGGGACGTGGATAGAAGATTCCTCAGTGGCTCCGCAAACTTGACAGGAAGGGTCATCGGAGAGTCGGCGATGCCATCTACTCAGGTTGGTGAGGAGTTTATCTTTCATTGAAAGCCAAAGGAAGTACTCAATGCGCTCGGGAATATGGGATTTGCAAATTAAGCTCCACAGAGGGTCACAAGCGTTCCAATTTGGGGAGGAGAGGCTATGATTAGCCGATTTGATGGAAAAGGTCCCGTTTTTGCTAAGGTTCCAAAAGCAACGGTCACGACCCGACTGAGAATCCTGGTGGTGGATGTTTGCGGATATGGTTAAGAGCTTCAAGAGTAATGAGATGGGAGATGAGGGACCAGTTCCAGGAGCCATACGTGTCCACCACGTCATAAACCAGGAGACTATCATTGACCACATCTAAGTTAGTGCACCAATTAGACAGGGGAGCATGATGCGAGATCCAAATATCGTGCCAGAAACAAACGGTGCTGCCATCTCCTATAGACCAAGAGATGAAACTTGGAAAGCTCTCCCAAACCTACCGAGGGAACGCCAAAGGTGGGAACAATTAAGGCGAGAGATGGAGTTCGGGCACGGATCTAACATCTTGTATTTCTGGCGGAGAATGGTAATCCATAGCTGTCCGGGCAGGCAACTAAAGTGTAGCAAAGCTTCATGAAGAAATCCGAGTTTTGGGTGTGAACATTACGAAAGACCGAGCCCACCTCTAGAACGAGGTTGAGTGATGGTGTACCAACGAACAAGAGGGATGCCTTTGCTTTTGTCATTCGATCCCCAAATGAAGTTTCAGATAAGTTTACAAGTTTGCATGAAATAAGTCTGGATGGCAGAGAGGACAGCATTTGAAAGAGCGACCCTACCAGCTAAGGAGAGATGATTTGTCGACCATCCCTCGTACTTATTACGGATCTTGTCGAGGACGAAGCTAAAGAAATCACTAGTGATACGCTTATGAATAACCGCGGTCCCAAGGTAAGTACCCAGATTGGAGACTTGTTGGATTTCGAGGCAAGTACTAACAGTATGGGCCTGCTTAGGGTACGTGTTATCGGAGAAAAAAACTTGGGATTTGGCTTTGTTGACCTTATGGCCCGAGTAATGGCCAAAATCATCAAGGATTTTACTCAAGATTCTAGCCTGATCAGTGGTGGCACGAGCGAAAAGAATAAGATCATCAGCAAAAAGGAGATAGAAATCGGGAGGCCACCTCTAACGAGATAGAAAGGTTTCCACAAGCCATCATTAACAGCTTTCGAGATGCTATGATCAAGTCTTTCCATAGTGAGAACAAAAAGGTACGGAGAGAGAGGGTCACCTTGGCGAAAAGGAAAGGTAAGGGTCCCATTGATTTGGACTTGGAAAGAGGCGATAGTGATGCAGTTCATGATCAGGTGAGAGATGGCGGGGAAGAGGCCGATCTCTTTAAGGGTATCCGAAATAAATTTCCAACAGAGAAGATCGAAAACCTTCTCAAGGTCGATTTTGACAGCCATCCAACCTAATTTCCTTTTTTTTGGATTTCATGGAGTGCATGACTTCCTGATTGATAATCACGTTTTCAAAAATACTCCTACCAGAGATGAAACTGGTTTGGTTAGGAGCAATGAGGTTAGGAAGGATAGGTTTCAATCTCTGAACCACAATCTTGGTAATGAGTTTATAGACCACCAACAAAGGCTAATCGGCTAAAAATAGCTGAAGCTAGAAGGCCTAGAAGTTTTAGGAATAAGAATGAGGATGTTTTGTTGAGCTTAGGGTCGATGCCAGAGCCAGAGAAAACAGAATATATCATAGAGCAAATGGAAGGGCCCACTAAGTCCCAGTGATTTTGGAAGAAGTGGGTGTGGAGGCCATCAGCTCTAGGATATTTAAGAGGAGACGGAGAGAACCAGGCGGCCTTAATCTCAGAAGGGTCAGACAGGATGTCAAAAGAGAAGATATCAGGGGCAGGAATGGGGGGAAAGTAGCCAGAGGGAGGGAAGGTTCCAACAGGGTCATCTTCAATGAAGAAGAGTTTCTAGAAGAAGAAAATAGATAAATTGTAAATTATTTTTTTTTCAAAAAATAATAATAAAAAGTTTAAATATTTTTAATTTATTTATTAAACTTTTGCTTTAATTTTGTTTTTGTTTATTCCATCGTTAAATATTTATCGACGTTATACCTAGATATTTTTATTTTAAAAATCATGAAATTGTAACCCCTAGACCTGACATGAACGTTAGACTCAAACCTAAACAATCACATGTCCCATTCAGAGATTGTTACAGAAATAATCTCAAAACATTATTTATTTTTTGTATGAAAACTCCATGATTTCATATTCTCTTTGATTTCTTAATTGTTTAACATTTTTTCAAACCCTGAGGGTAGAGAAATATAGATTAAAGAAAATAAACTATATATATTGATTTCATATTGACTGGATTGGATGGTGGATATTGTATATTATAGTGATTTAGAGTTTCGTGATTTTTGAGATTTGAGTTGAATTCCATGGTGTGGTTTGAGACAATGAGGCGTGTTCATCGGTGTCTTCAGTGGTCGAAAAAAATACTGGAGAATGGTGATTTCAATGTCACGGGGATAAAATTATAAAGCTTTCATTTGTGGAAGAAAAACAAATACAAAAGCAATAAAATGACGTGGATGCCATGTCAAAAAATATTCAATCCATATAAGCACATGTGACTTTCATGTTACTCTTCCCTTTTTAATTTAATATCCGAGTGATTAAAACAAATTTAATGAGTAAATTGAAATATTTCAAATTTATTGAACAAAATAATAATGAAATAAAGTTTAAGTAATGAAATTTTGTAATTTATCCAATGAAAAAATGAGAAGCCTGTGAAAGGGAGACGCGTGTGGATTTCGTGGTGGATGAGATAGGCCAAACCGTGATTCTAATTTCTAATAATTCAGCTGCAACACGTAGACGTAGGGATTAAATAATAAGATAAATTACACGTTTAATATTTAAACTATTAATTTTAAATAGTTTTAATATCTAAATTTTTAATTTTTTTAAAATCGTACTAAAGTTTAATTTTTTCTTTATTTTAGTACTTCGTTCATTTTTTTATTAATCTGAGGTAAGTACAAGGTAATATTTATATACAAATAACTCTTAATTATTTGACATTGAACGCTCACACTTCTTCCATCTATGATACTCAAACCCGGTACATCAAGGAACAACAACGATTCCTTTATCACCGAGGTCGCTTGGTTTGTGCTCCGTTAAAAAATTAACGTTAAGTTTTAAAAAAACTGAAAGTTTAGGTATTAAAACAGACCAAAACCGATAGTTTAGGTACTAAACAAGTTAACTTTTTATCGGTGGGATATTAAAATGAAACAAAAACTAAACGTTAGGTATGATTTTAAAAAAATAAAAGTTTAGATACTAAAATATACTATACTAATACATAGTTTACCCAAAAAAATACTGGTTTTTTTATACCTGATTAGAAATGATCGGTTTTTTAAAAAATTATTTAAATTTGAATATAATAAAATTTTAAATTTAACAAAATCAAATTTAAATTTATTTGATAAATTCTTTTTGTTTATATCGGAGATAATTATATATATATATATATATATATATATATATATAACAGTTATATATCTATATATCATTAATTCAATTTTGATAAAAAAATACATGTAAAAATTGACATATAATCAAATAAAGTGTTTGAATTGTGAGATTAAATAAAAATTTGTTTTACTTCATGTTATTAATTTAAATGAATTATAACTTTATCCAATGACTTTTAATTTTTGGAACTTGTTTAAAATATTAAAATTTATATTAATTCAAATTGAATTAAATTAATTTTGATGTAATAATCGATAATTGATCTAGTAATCAATCAATCAAAATCGATAAATTTAGAGATCCAACTCTCAACTTAGAGATCCAACTCTCAACTTAGAGATCCAATGACATATAATCATCGATATAATAGTATCATTGCTCGTTTTTTCCTCTTAAATTTTTAAGCATGGACTCAAACGTTTGAGGTAATAGTTCGTAATCTAAGCATCATATGTATTATTTACTGTAAAGTTCACATAAAAAATAAAAATGATTGAGAAATAAAATTAGGCATCGTGACATACTCATGCGCACAAGTTATTGGCGTTCATCATCCTTCTTAAATTTCTCATGACGTTTACAACTTTATGTCAAATACAATACCGATGTTGGATATGGGGTGGTGGCCACATTGGACCCAAAGAGTCCATTGTTGCTTTGATCCCAGCCCCACATCTGAAATGATGTAGATTTTTTCCCTCTTGACAACATGTAAGCGTAAGTTTTTGAGAAAAAAGCCTAAGAATTTGTATATTCTCCTTCAACAAGGGCAAAAGCAACTGACAGAATGTTGCAATTACCATCTTAGACAACTTTCAATAGTA